TAAACTATGAAAATTATGGGGTCAGTTTGACTTCATCTTTTTCAAAACTAAAATTTTTTAAAAACGTCCTTCCAAAGCGGGCAACGGGATTTCAATTTCGATGACCGACAGCTTCTTACGGGCAAACCCCACACCAAAAATAGTGCCGACACCAACTCATTTTTTCAAGTGGCGACTTCCATTCGCAGGGACACCGCCTTTAAATCCTTGGTCACCATGCGAGACAACAATTCTCACATTAGATCTTTTGCAGGACTTCCAACCGCTCCCGCAGAAGGTTTACTTGCACTCATTGATGCTCTGCAAATTTGGGAGGAAGTTGCGACCAATCATACTACTCCTGTTGAGGGTCACCTTAATGGTCAAGCAAGATCGATAGGGCGGGACTAGCTACAGGCAAAGGATTAAATGATTGATGCCCTTCAACATCAACCATTGAAGGGAGAATGACGATTGCGCTTTGCAGCCCAACCACAACAGCAAGAGCAGATTTGACAACTTCTCTTGATGGTCTACCGTCCACGTGATCCCCCGACCTGGTCGGTTCATCTGTATTGAGATAATGTCAAGCAATCATTAAAAATCACAAACAACCATAATGATTCTTACATACTTAAAAATCAATCAATAGAAAAAAGAGCGTTTGCCAATGTGACTTCCCCCTCCCCCTCCCCCCTTGCGACGAGATACCTCTGTTTCTCTGTGGTAGCAACTTGGGACGACCGGTGACTTCCATTGGCTCCTCTCCACTGACCTTGAGGTCCTTGACAGCTCAGCCATGTGGACCCTCAACAATTACACTCGCATTAACCAAAGGAGCTAGGCCTCTCTAGCATGGTTTTTCTTAGCAAGTGAGTCTCGAGATCCTCAAACGAGCTGGCTTGATCAACCGATGCAGGTTCGAGTATCGATTGTTTTTCCTTACTTATGACCTTTTTTCTTCTTTACAGAGGCAGGGATCTGATAGCTCGCCATGGCTAGAAGTTCAAGGTCCACCTCACCTTGGCTCATACCGTATGCCATGGTTCGGCTATCTATGGAAAGTTCATGGCAAAGAATGTAAATACCAACCCTATGGTCCTATTTATAGGGCTCACTGGGCACGAAATCCCCAGGGAAGTCAATTACTGAATTAATTTTCTCAATTTTGGCGCCACTCATGGTTTAACAATTTTCTTGTCCTTATTGTAGTTGTCACTATCAAGGAGCAGAAAAACTCAAGGAACTAATACGTATACGCCAAAACTGCTAGCATGAATCTTAAAGCTTTCAGACAACCAAGGACAACGATAGTGAAATCAAAGCAACAAACCAGAGGAGCATGGTCTAAACTAGGGATTGAATCAACAAACCGCGCTTTTAGTCCCAGCTACCCAAGTATCTTTCAGGGGTGTCTGTTCCCAACTAGTCGATCGACCAAATTTGCCTCGACAGGAGCTATCGCTACACAATCGGTTGCCCTGGTTGACCTAACTAAATGCATCGATATGCTAATAACTGTTGTATTACACTTAAATGACAAAACAAATCTTGCATTAAATTAGCACATTAACTGCATTAAGGGCGATTTCCATAATACTTCTCTTCTTTTGGTAATTAAGGCTGATTTCCATAATCGCTCTCTCAATTTTGTGATCGTACAAAAAGACCTCATATAAACAGGAGATCCAAAGGTTAATAAATGGACTTCACCCCCCTTACTCCTCTCTCAAGAATTATGCCGGCTCCTCTTTCTCTCTCTACTAGTCTCCTTCTCCCAACTCCAACTCTCGAAGCGTGTTTTATTTGAAGGACAATTTAGGATTTAATACTATCATTCAACTAAACATGTATTGCCAATAAAATTTGCTCTTTAATATTGTTTACAATGGCCCTGGAAGATATGCCCAAGAGGAAACATTGATGGACAACTAGTAGCAGACAAAGTTCTCATTAAAAAGATCCCATGACGACAATTGATATGCAGGCTCATGCCCATAAAAGAAACGCCCATGACATAGCTTCAATGCAAAACCAAAAGAGGATACAGTCCTCAGTGGAAAGATTTATCATGAATCTTTATATTTGAGTGAAAATTAGCTAATTGATGAAATAGGGCGTTATATTTGTAAATAAAAATATTTTAATTGTTATGTATGTAATTGCCCCAAAAAAATAAAACAATTAGGCCTCCCTTATTGGTATAAATTTTTTTATTTGGAAATGAATTGGCAATTTATGCATTTGGTATGATTTCAATTCTCATTTAAATCACAATATCTAACAAGTAATATAAAAAAAAATAATTATTTTACAAGATCAAGTGATTCACGTGATTTATTGCTTCTATAGATTTTCGTTATCACTAATCATGCACCAGCAATAATCATGAGTGAGTGAATTTCACTTTTTTATCATTTTCATGTTTGAAGATAAAAGAAAGAGAAATTTAACTAGTGATCTAACATGAAAATTGGGTCTGTTTGGGGAGCGATTATTGCGGGCGGAGAGCGCATGCAGAGTTGCAATGTGCAGCTGTGATCGGAGAGCACATCGCAGCTCTGCGTGCGCTCTCCGCACTAGGGCTGTCAAAACGGCTCGTTGTTCGCGAACAGCTCGTGTTCGGCTCGTTAATTTCGTTCGATAAGTCAACGAGCCGAACATGAACTAAGATGTGTTCGGCTCGTTTTGGCTCGAAATACTACTCATCAAGTATATATATATATATATATATTAAGTAGTATTTTAAAAA